ACTTGACTCCACGTATTCTCTATGTATTTTCTCTGCGAGGCTCCGCACGGAAGAACCCTTCGCGATGCTTTCGGGAAAAAAAAAAGTGACGCAGGGTCAAAATTGGCCCGGAATTCGAACTGCGACCATGTCTTCAAGCAATGCAAATGGGTAATTCCAAACTATGTAGTGCCGTCCTGCTCGCTGGAGATCATGTGGCCAACCTGTTGTAACCAGCATTCGACCACTGGAGTGCTTCCGCGTACGGTTTTTCCTTTGCCATGAAATTCAGCTCTGAGCGGGCAGCAAAGATTTGGTCATTTATCTCTGGCCTCACCACCGCCTCATGGTAGCCACGAACCAACTGCAGGCCATCGCTTGCAGTGCCCACTGGCCTTTGAAGCCAACCTTCCACCTCCTGCGGAGTGTTGATATTCGCACCCATATGGCCAGCTACTGCCTGTAGAACGGTTTGGTCCTGTAGCGTCACCGGAACCACCAACGGCGGGTTGGTCACAGGAGCACGCTGCTTCTTCACGATCCGTCGCGCCCTCTTGTGGAAGCATTGATTGCAAAACTAGGAGTAAATGAGCATTCTGCATTGCAGACATCTCTTGCCACGCACTACGATTTCCTTACTGACTGCAATTATGCCCTTGAATTCAGCTGTACCAGTCTAGGATTTTCTTCAAAAGTAATCAATGCAATTTATAAACATCGGCTTTTCAGTTTTGGCTATGGACAATCTTGCATCGTGCTTAATTTGCACGTCTCAAAACACAGAATAAGTCTTCACGACATGATTCTTGCACAAATTGATTTCTCGCAACCACTGCAACTTCCATTCGAGCATTCCCCATGTTGCTTTGGCAACATGTCGATGGACATTTAAAGAATGTCGAATTAATTGTCACCCGTGAATACTACAGCCTAGTACAGCATCGATGGAAGAGGTGGTCCTGCATCCAAAAAAATGTGAAACCGAAGCATAGTTTGCAAACCAATCATAGTGACGTGAACAAGGGATTTGAGCCACAAAACTCTTCAAAAAATGTTGCGATCGGTGTTGTGGAAAACGGAAGATGTGAGAGTGTTTGGCTCCACAGTGTCGTCATCCTTCGTGGCGACGTAGCAGCCGTGGTAGTGGCAGTATTTGTAAAAACAAAATTGACGAGTGGTAGTGCTGGTAGCAGTGTAGCAGTCGTTGTCGCAGAAGCGCCATTAGTGATCACATTTGCAGGTGCCGCAATTCTTGGTTGTAGTTGTTGGTGTTGTTAGCTGTTTCGGTTCTTGTTGCAGAACCGAGAATCCAGAAGTGCAGATGTGAAGCACACATCTCTGGCCGAATAGCCAGCTGTAGCGAGCAGCTTCACCATGCTTGGATGTTGTTGATGGAGCACAGTTGACATGGTGTCGCGCCACAAACATGTCAAACGTAAGCCCGCCTGTCGTGGCGCCCGCAACCAAGCATTCCAAGGTGCACATGGGTTTTCGATAAGGTCAACCCGACTGGGCACACAGTTTGCCTGGCCAGGACAGTTGAAGTTGTCTCGGATCAACGAGTCTGGTTCCTCGCAGTGAGAGCCTCAAGTCCGGCAGATGGAAGGCATCAACCAGCAGTAACCCTAAACTGCAAAGGTCCTTCTGGGGCTACTTGGATCGGCGAGGCAGTGTTCTGCGATATCTGCAGTGCTCTCAGATGGGGCACAGCTTCAAAAAGATTTAGTATTCGGCCCCAGTCGCACCGACAGTTAGCATGAGTTGCCTGCCCTCTAGAATGAAGTTTGTTGATTTGCTAGAGATGGTACGGGTCGTGCACGACACGGCTTTTGCAATTTGCCAAGAAAGATATGCAAGCAAGAAGTTTCGTCAGAAGACCACAAACCTGAACGACAATTTATGGTTTAGTGATTCCAGGACACAGCTGTCATTCTGAAACCCGAAGAGTTGCATTCTTCTCCTCTGATCATCCTTGCGATAATCATGCCAAGGCCCGACTTTGCATCAAGGAACGCGGAGGAGACGATGCATGCTGTCGCACACAAGTGCCAGCTGGAGTACATGTTTGCTCACATGCGTTGCCTCTTTGCGTGCGGGGTTGAGCCTAGCTGTGAAGCTTACGTCTATCGGCGAGCGCTTTGCGCAGCTTCATGATCTACAGTCAGGTAACATCCAATGATGTCAACAGGAGGCTGGTGCTTGTTTGTAGTGCAAATCTCAACTGTTGGGTGGCTGGCCAGCCGAGAGATTGAGTTTCTCTAACGACGCCTCTGCTTTTCAAGATTGTTTGTTTTGCAGTCATTCTGCTTTTGCTGGCTGATGCTTCAAGTTGAAGTGGTCTTAAGCTTTTGGGTTGTGCCCCCCATCAGCTTTTCAAATGAGCTGTCATGTGTCGCTAGCCGGTAGCGAGCTAGCGGCCCTTTGTCGTTTCAACAGGACGGGCTTCGCACTTTGTGCGAAGCTGCCCGACGAATCCACTATGTGTGTTCATTCAAAAAAAACTTAGAAGCTTTGTGGTGACAAGTTTTCTTGACAAGTGTGAGTCATGCACGTATTATAATTTACATGGCTTCGCAAATATTGCGTGTGTTCGCGCTTGTGCACAACGCCAACAAACCACGCAAGAATGATACCCTCATGTGAGAATCTGGAGTGTTGCGTAATATGACCAACCATGTGATCGTTGACAAGACAACACTACGAACATGTTGCATCTAAATTCTTTTCACCCGCCCTCAAATCCTTGTTAGTCAAAGCACTTGCAGTGAAAAGCGAAATGTGTGGCATCAAATGTGGGGGGGGGAGCCAAAAAAGTGGCTTCAAATGTGAGACCAAGTTCGAAATGTGCAATCGCCAATGATGCGTTGGCTCGGAGATAGATGTGGACCAAGAATGTGATGTGTCATCGAATTCAACACCCCTGTTCGCCCACGTGAGTCATAAAAGAGGTGACTGCTTGCGTACATGTTATGATTGATGTTATCAGATATGATGGATTGCACTGAACTGCATTTGGAAATATACATCAATTTGTATGAGCCCTGCGTATCTCACTCGAAGGTTCCATTTGTTTGGAAATATGAATGAACATTTGAGGAGGGTCCTTTTGAAACGATAAAGGAATGGCCAGTTGCAGGTCGAGTTGTAATTATAACTGAGATGAAAAATTCAGGATAGCTTCGAGACAGGCTTGATTAAATTAGCCCGATCGTGGTCATCAGGACTGGTTGCGGAGGCTTCGCTCATTGCCGTACGCGCAGGGACGGGTGAAAGTGCTGCATGGCTGAGGTTTCTAGGTCCTTGCCAGCGGCTGAAATGCCGAGGTGAGGAAGACATTTTGAAGAAGGGGTTTTCTGGTCACACTAAGCGGATTATCTGCCAAGGTTCGGCAGGGACTATGCCGAGCCCAGACTGACCTGCTACTTCGGAGCATCTTTGCAGCTATTGATTTACTGTCCGTTTCGTCTTTGGAGTTCAGCTTTGGTGTCGTGGGTGGGACTGCCGATGTTTGCAACATTGAGGACAAGGCTTACACCTATTCGGGGAGGACCATCGAGCCATTGCCTTGGTCACGCGCCCCAGTTCTCCAGGACTTCTGCATCAGCATGCTCAGCTTCATCATGCTTGGCAAGAACAGATTCGGCGTTCGAATGCTGCAGTAGTGGTGATAGGACATTCGGAAAGAAGTGGAAAGCATCACAGGTGGGATCAATACTTGTTATCCCTATGTAGTTGCTGCGACACTGTTGCGATGCCTGACTCATGAATGCAACACCCGCACAGTTTCCGATGTTTGCAAGCTCATTGTCCAAGTCGGAAGGTGAATCTTTCAATTCGGTGCTTTGCAACAGATACAGGACCCGCTGTTTATGGAGCCCTGCCAGCTTCGCTAAACAGTAGGGTCTCGCAATTGTAGCCCCTTACGTGTCCTCACATTGACATGCTTGGGCCCGCTGGCCCGCTGGGTTGGCACATGGCTCAGAGTAGACTTGCGTGGCACATTTGTCGGCTTTCGACACCGGGAGGAACGGAGATGACACTGTGGGATGGTCTCTTTCCGAGCAAACTGGGCTTTGCTTGTCAAAAGGGTCGTCTTGCGAGAGCAGCTTTGAGCAGCCCGTCCAGGCATGCGGACAATGAGCCAATCTACGGGCCGCAGCCGACCATCGCATCAGTGGCTTAGCAGATTGGAGCATGGTGCATTTTGTAACTGGATATAGTTTTCAGTCGAAAGATTCGCCTTGCAATATATCCTGCCTGCTGTGTAAGGTCACCTTCGGTGCAGAGAGGGACTTCGACCTAAAAGAGTGTGGCTCAACAGCACTGTCGCAGCATGCAGGTGCTGACGTGACTTAAGGGGGCTTTGCACAATATGGTTCAGTGCATCGCCTCTCAGGCAGAAAAGGATCTTGTCGAAGTGCGGGCAGGCTGTCCGGACGATATACCTTTGTGAGCAGTTCTGATTCTTCGGCTTTCGAGATTTGACTGATGTGGACGATTATGCCGTTGATTCGATAGGATTCGGATTCGACTCGCACATGGCAGCCTTCTAGTCGAGACCTCAGCCGCATGTGTTGCCCAGGGTTGTGAGGCTTTATCGATTTTACTGGACTGCCTGCCGGAGCCCTGCAAGCATCGGTCATGTACAGCCTGTCAGTCCGATGCGAGGTAATGTCCGGAGCCACACAAGAATGCTGGCAGCACTCGCTGCCGAGGAGGAAAGGCGTACAGGACTGCTCTGCAACTACACCAAGCATGGTCTCGCCACGTCGCTGCTGAAAGTCCTCAGCAAGACTTTGAGATCCATGAATCCTGCAGTCAGCTGCTTTCGACACTTGTCCAGGACGAGCGGATCAACTTGACTTTTCGCAAGGTCATTGAGTCCGCAAAAGGGGTGTCAGAAAGTGTTCACAAAAGGGGCGACCAAGTAGACCGCAAGCATCAAGCATCAAGCAGTGCATGCGCGCCTCTGCTTTGGCCCTCTTTTCAGAGCGGGGTCGGCCTCTCCCGATCTTGCATCCATGGCCTGGTGCCGAAATGCAGCCGTCGGGATCCAACTGAGTGGGCGCAAATTGGTGGCTGTTTCAAGAGGTTTCCCATGTCCCGTTGTAGCTCAGGTGTGGACAGCACTTTTAGGCTTGCACCTTAGTCGTGGAATGCAAACTGTTCTGGTCCAAGGATGCCGTGGTAAATTGCTTAGCACCCGCATTTTGCTGAGTCTTCGGTGCACTGTCCGGGTCCGATGCACTGAAGGCTTGGAGCTTGGCTTCAGAGTATTCTAAAACGGTCAAAACCCCTGTGCTATCAGCCTTCCAATGCTCTGCATCAGTTGGGCATCAACTGGGAGACGGGCTTCGAATCCTCCGGGCTCCAATGGAAGAGTCCGTTGCCGGGGGAAACAGAGCGGCCACTTCTCAAGCAAGAAGATTTACTTCGATGCTTCGTGATTTTGCTCCGTTCGCATCGGGTGGCGCTGGTTACGGATTTTGTGATTTTTGGAACGATGACTGAAGGGCTCGTTTTCCCGTTTTGGATACATGGCGCTATGGCAGGTCCGTTGATAATGTAGCATGGAGGCAAACATCTGTGTGGATGGCCCAGGTACTTGATTGCAAGCTTCCCCAAGGATTTCAAAATCAGTTATGCCAGGCAGGGACCCTTTGTGGTTGCTTGTGAATCATAAAGAAGTCTACTTGGTTGCCTTGCCTGCTCGCAGCTCGCATGTGCTGTTCTGGTTGCAGTACGAGAGGCAGTGATACTGACATGCGGTGCTTCGAGGCTTCCAGATCCCACCTGGCGGCCTCTGATCGTCCACAACTTGTCAAACCCAGCCGCCTTGGCTGTGGATGAGCAGAACATGAGGCAGGCCTCACCAGCAAAGAGTTTAACATGCCTTTCCTGTCTGCTTTGGCCCAGGCTGTTCGTAGCAGACCCTACAGCCAGCAAAGTCTTCTGGTACCAGTTAAAGGCGCTGTGTCAAGGAGCCTCTCATGACTTGCTTCCATCGGCGGAATCTACAGGTGCTGCCCAGCAAATTCCTCGTCACAGAGGGCTGCGAACCGAGTCAAGCTTCGACTTCTGCAGCTTTCGAGCAGCTTTAACTCTGCTCTGCTCTTACCCACAGGCCTTCAGCATGTCGCCGCAGAAAACATGATCGCCAAAGGCATGGCCGTGAGCCAGGCCAATCTGCCAAGCGAAGAATCCCCACTGCCACCAAAAGCACCAACAAGCAACGCATCTTGTCGATGCAGGCAGGGGACCTGTTCATTTCTGGCCGTGTGGTCGCAAGCCCGCCTCTCACAGGGCATAGCGCCATCTACAAGCAGGCAGGCTTGCTACTTCTTGTGATTGATCTCTACAATTATAGTGATTATTGCAGACAAGATAGCGCTTGGGCACGGATTGAAGTAGGACTTGCAACAAGCTACAGGATGTTCTGGAGCCGCTCAACAGTTATCTCTAAGGGTTCCGTTTCGTCCAGCGCATCAGAATCATGAGGATTTGGTTCCACACCCAGGCCCTCACAAAAAGCACAGAAGACCAGGCAGCCGATGGTTTGGAAGCGGCCGCTCCACTGAAGCGGCTCTGGACTGACCGTGCATCGAAGCTTCGCTGTGATTCGGGGTAGCTGTGGAGACTTTACATGGGCACGTCGCGGTCGTGCAGCCATCAGCAGGACAGCTGGCGATGGATCGTGGATTCCGGTGCTCAACGCGTGCAGATCCCAGTTCAGACAACGCGTTGAACTTGTCGAAGCCAGATTGAATGCGAAATGCATGGTGACGCGAGGGATGGAGCTCCCGCGACATCCGAGCCTATGAGTCCTTCAACGCCGGGGGCTTGTGAAGACACTGACTGGCGGAGTGCAGGCGGAGTGAATGTAAGAGTTTGGAGGCCTGAGATCTATCAGCCTGGGCCAGTGGCTGTGGACATGTCAGCCGGGCTGTGCTTGACGCAGTCTTGGCCTTCGTGCAGCCGCACTCATGCGGTTGAACTTCCACCACTTCTGCCAGGTTTACCCTTTATTGGGGCAACGCCATCAAAGGCAATGCTAGTGAATGTCTCAGGGAGCAGAATCGCAAGCAAACACGGGGCCGAGCCCTCAACACGATGAAGAGCAAAGCTCCTCTCTTCCACTTGTCGAGGTGCCTTGGTGCGTGGTCCGCAGACTGTTCCAGCTCCACTTCCCGGAGGGGCGGCTGCTCCCAAGTCCAAGGCTTCGACAAGCTGCGCGTGTTCTAACTTTTTGTCCATCGGCCTTCCCAGCAGGCTGGCGCACATGCTCTTGCCAACAACTTGCAGGCTGTCACAGGCGCGTCGGACCAGAAAGGGTCGTAGTGGTGCTCGGTAGTGTCGCTTTTCACATTTAGGCATTCGCCGGCGGCAAGTGCAGTAGTTGTCGCTGCTTCAAAAGTACATGCAGCGTCTTGTGGAGCTGTATCGTGCAGGCATTTTGGGGTACATGGCAGTGCTTCTGCGCTGGTTTTGACTTTCAGCTCCTGGGGGCTTCGTTGCGAACTTGATTTTGATAGTAACTTGCCTCCTGTTTGGATTTTGCTCGTCTCGTCATGTTTCAAGCGTAAGTATTGCCTGTGCCGACGGCTGATGGATGCTGATTCTATTGTCACATGTCCTTGTCTCGGTTTTGCTCGATTCAACAAGACACAGGAGATTTTGTGGCAAGACTGGCCCGATAGCTGACAGCACAGATTTTGTCCGCTTGGTCGGTCAATGCCGGCAGCTACGCAGTCGAGCGTCTTTGACTTGATTGCAAGGCCTGACAATTACGTCTTCCGGCATTTTCTATGCCGGCCGTCCGGTGCAGGGCCGGCCAGGCATCTTCGCGTTGTTCCAGTCTCAGTTCTTCGACTCGCAGCAGACATGCCGTGAGAATGTGACCCGTGGTGTCCGACCAGCTCAGGAGGAGTGAGGACAGCCTCAATGGCTGTGCCGCTGATGACCACTGTGTCCACCGTGTTGCCCAGGCAAGCCGCACTTGGCGCTGTCATGTCGAAGAAACTAGCGGCAAAACCAGCATTTGTGCTTGCACAGGTGTCTAACCCGGTCGACATGTGCTGGGTCGGGAGCACAGCTCCACTTCAGTGTTCTTGTTTGTGGCCTTCCTTTCGGCACTCTGCGAGGATGGTGATGCCACGCTATTTATAGCTGACGCCGGAAGTGGTGCCGTGCGCCCCGAGCAGGGTGGATGCATAGGAGTCTCTGAGGTTTAGGCAATGTGGATCCACGATCATTCTTACCATGGAAGCACTGTTGGCTATTGTTGGCTTTGAGGTCTTGTCAGTTCCTTCCAGCACAGCGAGCCGGCATGCAGTGGCCGAAGCCTAAAGGGGGCAAGCAAGTGCACAAACTTTCACTGCGAGCTGCGGTCTTTCCGGGGCTTCCCGCAGAGCAGCAGAGCAGCAGAGCAGCCGAGGTGAAAGTGGCCGAAGCGCTCGGAGTCCATGCCATCACGATGCTCACGGTGCCCAGCATGGCGACGAAGGCAAGATGTCGTCGTCCTCTCGCCGTCGAGACATGTTGAGCTCATGCACATCGGACTTGACAGAACTGACTTAGGTTACCGGCCTTGGTGTCGCCCTGGTTTCGGCTGTGGCCAGCCTACTGTCCTCCGTCTAATCTGAAGCGGCTATGGCCCATGGCTCGCTGAACAGCGTCTTGCGTCTGAGCCGAAATGCTTTGAGCTTAAGTTTGTGCATGCTATTCTTGCAGAGCCGAACAATTCCGTGGCATCTGTGGCGAGTGAGTGATGCTACTGCTGCTTCGTCGTGGTATGCCCGAGGATGCCGTGACGGCAGCCAAGCCACTAGACATTGTGCAAGAACCGAGAAACACGAACTCGACTAACATGCAAAAAACACTTCAGCCGAGCAGTAGACAGGGAAGCAGAAGCATGCGCCGGTTTGGCACCTATCTGTTTGTCGTTCTGCTGGACGCGAGGTTAGCTTAGAGGGAGCATGCGTGCTACCTAGCTTGCCGCATGCTCCTGTGCCATGTCACTCGGCCTGGCCCCCAGCGAAGGCGGCGTGTCCGCCTCTTGGCCTATCAGTACAAAATGAATAGTGGCAGTAGCTATGATAATCATCATCATCATCATCATCATCATCATCGTCATCATGACCACGTGGTGTACATACATACCCATACATGTTGAAATCAATGCGAAACCCATTACGAACCTCATCCATTCCATCCTCAAGCTGCTTTCTCTCGAAGCAGCGGCAGCAGCAAGCAGCAGCAAGCAGCAGGAAGCATCAGCAAGCAGCAGCACCAGCGGTAGCGGTAGCGGCAGCAGCAGCCGCGGCGACAGCGGCAGCAGCGGCAGCAGCAGCAACATCTACAGCTGCAACAGCAACCACAACAACAACCACAACAGCAACAACTGCAACAGCAAGGGCAAGAGCAAGAGCAAGATGAAGAGAAAGAGAAAGAGCAAGAGCAAGAGCGTGAGCCACAGCAAGAGCGAGAGCAACAGTAACAGCAACAGCAACGGCAACAGCAGCAACCAACGGCAACAACAGCAGCAGCAGCAGCAGCAGCAGCAGCAGCAGCAGCAGCAGCAGCAAGCGCAACCGCAACGGCAACCGCAACACCAAGGACAATGACAACGACCACGACCGCGACCACGACGACGACGACGACGACGACGACGACGACGACAGCGACGACAGCGACGACAACCACGGCAACGACGACAACCGCTACAACCACGACAATGACGACAACGACGGCGACAACGGCAGCGGCAGCGGCAG